TTAACCACATCTCTTCGTGAGTTCTCACCCTGCAGATACACTGACAATATGCACTGCAGACACACACACGTTACATCCTCAAAGACTCCTCTTTTGGATGCACAACACTCATGCTTTGTACAAGAAATCCTTAAAACCAATCACTATTTACACAGTAATAAATTCATGTGTGTGTTTTCCTGCCTCTAGATTCCCCCTATTCTTGAGTGTTCTTTTAACTACAGACCTAGCATCCCTCTCTCCTGAGCACTGCTGCTTAGAAAATACAAACTCTCTTGTCATTTCTTTCCCCTTTCATAGCTGATCTCCTAATAAAACCACCTCCCTTTGCCACAGAACATCACCTTCAGCTCTGCTCAAGTTCCATTTGTTTTGGAAGCGCTTCCAACAACGATTTTTAAGCTTAGTGTTACCGCCACATCTTTGTTCTCCTTTTTGGCTATTTCTTATTTCCCAAACCATAAACCCCAGTAGGTAATATCTGATGCCTGAATCCACTTTATAGCAGTGCAGTCAGTTAATAAACAAATCAAATACTAGTAAAATTTATTATTTATGATTATGTTATCAGAACCAAAGGGACACCATTTTTAAAACAGCAATCTCCTAAACTAGCAGTTACTAGCAGTAACAGCTAGAAACATTTCTCCTTTGTTATCAAATTGGAAAAAAAAAAAAAACAACAACAATGCTAATCAGTTGCAAAAAAGGATTTTTTGCTGACACCCCATCCATCTAACAAGAAGCTTTTTTGTTAGTTTCTTTTTAAAATCCAAAACAACATACAGTATTTTAGTGTGCAGTTTTTATTGACTACCAGCCCTTCACTTTTTTTTAACTTATTGTTAAATAAATTTGTAGATTGGGTAAGCACATTATGGTGACACTGAATCTTTTTCATCTGAGCAGATGTCTGTCTGAGCAGCTTCTTTAAAAGCAGCTATTAAATGGCAGCATTTGTCAATGGGTTTTCTGAATACAGAAGGGGTAACTATGCGTTCTACCCTCACTGAAGGATGATAGTATTTTCATTCTCCTTGCGCTTTAGAAAAATTTTCCCCCGAAGCTTTGATTTTATAATTCATGCTAAGAGATTTAAGAATTATAATAAGAAATGCTTATCAAATGTTTATTTATACAGATAAATTCAAAGGTTTAGTAATAAGTTCTCATCTTATTGTAAGTGGCAAAACTTCCCAGAAGCCTGGGAAATGTCTGTTACAGACACAATGATGTTGTTTTCAGAATACTTCTTTCTTTTAGTCTTGCAATATTAATTTGGTATTGATTTACCAGATGACAAGTATAGCAGGGACAAGGAGACAGTGAAAAAAGCTTCATCAGAACAACACAGTGATTTAACTAAGTTTTACAGTGGAATTATAGCCAAAACGAATCCTCAGGAAAGGAGGATGGGCCACCAAAACATAATTATGAGTCAGTAATGTTATCAATGTCCTCAATACTGATACATGCAATTTGACAGATGATTTTGTCATGAATTTATGTAAACAAAATCAGGGACTGGTATTTCAGAAGAGAAAGCTTTTTTTTTCAGTTGTTGGAACACTCTGCTCTCTGCAATATTGTCTTTCTAGATTACCAATCTGCCATTTAATAAGAAATCATCATGAGAACAAAGTAATCTCTCAGACTGCAATATTGGTGACAGACTTCATGTAAATTAGAGCAGGCTCACAAGAACTACATAGTGTCAGGACTGTGGATTTAAATTTTCCTGCTGATCTCAGAAAAGCTTTCCTCCTTTTTTCTTGAAAAAGCCTTTCAGTTATTTAAAAGACTATGCCAGCTGATCGAATCAAGGATTTTCTGTGTTCTACTCACTAAGATTTGTAATAAGTAGCGTACTTTGACTTTTCCTCCTGGACAAAACGTATTAACTGCTGAAATAAATGGCATTTCTGGTGATGCGCACACACAAATCTTCAACTGTTGAACAAGACTAAATTTGTATTCCTCCTGAAGAAAACGTCAAAGATCTGTGGCTTATGGGAACGTCTGACTGTGTCACAGCACTCAAAAACTTGAAAGATGCTCATAAGATCCTTCCACCCTTCCTGCTGTGGAAGCAGTACCTATTTAAACAATTTAATGTTAAAATGTTTAAGTTACAGCTACTCTACCCAAAAGCATCCCTTCAAGACTTTCCTTTCACACCTCTGGCAGTGACAACACTGTATTTTTTCTCTCCCACCCCAATATTGTATAACTACCGACCTACTTCTCCACTTCCTAAACCACTTCTTTTAAATTCGTAGCTGTTGAACACATGGGCTCTAGTAAAAAAACTGTAGTAGTTCCAAACTCAGCTCCTCTAATTAATGAGCTTGCCTGCTAACAGTAAAAGTGTGACACCCCTAGAATAGACAGAAAACAATATGCAAGCTTCCTCACCCTTAGCTCTCTATATCCATACAAATCTCATTTTGTATCAAGCTAGATGTTTTTGATTGATCCAAACAATGTGTGACAGCCCAGACACTTTAAAGAGCTTTCACAACAATTCTGCCAAAGAAACAAACTGAAACATTTACAGTGTGAGCTTGCTGGTATGTTTCACTTCTACTATGCATCCACTCTTCTGTCTTAGCAGAAAACAGCTCACTCCATCACTTTTTCCCCCCCTTATCTTTTTTTAAGATGCTGTTGATTGCATCCACAGCACATCTACATGGTCAACAGCATTTAAGAGATGTGTCAGAACTTGCTTTTTACTTGGCTAAACAAAAAGAATACTAATACTGTATAAAACAGTTCTGAGATACAGGTAAAATACTTTCTGGAAGCTTTACGTTTTTCTGCTTTGCATTTCTATTTACCATTTTTTACTTCAGTGGAACCTATTTATTGTTCATATACATACCTCATTACCCTTCTGTGTTGCTACCTCTGTATATTGCACAACTACAGTACAGCTAAGTAATACCTCAGGAAGTTGGTGGCCTGTTCATCCGTTCTGTTGTAACACCAGTACACTGAACAGCTACATTTTTTGTAAAGATTCCACCCAACTACATTTATCTCATCTGCAAGATTTCACAGAAGTTGCACAGAAGTTCAGTTTTCATGACAAAAAACACAGCCGCCTTCGTATATTAAAACAAATAAATATGGACTTTGGTATGTGGAACATAACTTCAATCATTGGTAATGAAAACCCTCACTTCTTTGTTGCTTTAAAAAAGAATGAGGCTCATCAATGTCATAGGCTCTTATACAACAAAGTAGCAAACGACTATTACAAATATTACAACATACTAGTTATAATTAGTTTTAGCTCTGGCTGCTCCACTTCCACAAGAGACAAAACTGAGGCACAAGGACTCCATTATTTCCTAACTCTAAACATGAGGCCTCTAGGTTGTAAGTCTTCTGAAATCTTGTACTAAACCTGAAGGTCCCTTGTCCAGTACTATTTAGAGTATTTTGGATAAGGAGATAGATAATAGCATGCTTTCTGTTTAAGCCATGCAAAAAGTACCGGAATCAAAAATGAATTTGGGAAATTCAGTTTGGATTAATTAGGAAGCAGTGAAAGGGTTTTTCAAGGCTGCTTGCTGGGTTCCAGAACTGTACACCAGCATACAAGTACTGACTTTTTTTCTAGATAGGACTTAGTATCAGAAGTTGAAGGGATCAGAAATAAGCTTTAATCCCATCCAATTGTAACACTTGTCACGCATGCTGTTTCCATGATAACACATATTAAATCTGCCACTTCAAATAGGGAATCGGTTATATGAAGTCTGTATGTCTAACAGCATTCAGGAACTGTCAGCAAAATATTTTCCTCTTTATGAGGCAGAAAAGGAAAGAGAAATTTTAAGACTTTAACACACTTAGCATATTACAATTCAAAAAAGTATTTAAGAACTGTTGGGTATAACAAACAGCAAAGGCTAGTTTACCATTAAAGGTGCACAATATGAAAGGAAGAAAAAAGTTAATGAGCTCCCCACCATCCCTAGGAACACATCCATATTGTATAGCATTTGATGATGGCCAATTCAAATTATTACTCTTTGATTTAGTCTGCTGCTAAACTTTTTCAAAGTGTCCATCAATTAAACTACATTCGGTTCACCAATTATAGGTATTTGCATGGAATCTTTCTGAAACAATTCCATAAAGGGTCACTGTATAAAGGAGTAGACCCAAAGACATCACTACTACAGAAAAGCAGCATTTTTCCTTCAGAACAGGATATTATGATCGTGATATGCAACATAATTATACAAAGAAGTTTACAGAGAATGACCAGCAGACAGAGAAACAGAATATGGAAATACCCTAGTTGCCACAATCTTCTATTTATCTCTGCACAAGTCCCTTATTCTCACCTAGCTCTCAGCTACTACATGATGCAGGAAGATATATATTATACTCCGGAAATATGCTGTAAGGTTATGATCCATTAATGACTGTGAAGCACTTGGATATACCCCAGTACATTCCAAAGAAAGAATCCAGTCCTCAATATGCAGGCATCTCAAATAAAAGTACTGCCAGTCCACATATGACTGACCAGAAAATTCTTCACTCTTCAGGACCTCCTTGCTCCTATGCGATATAGAATACAAAGTGTATCTGGGTGGGGTTTTTTTTCCAGACCTTTACTGTTAGCATAAGTTTAACATAAAAGTTTGCCAAGACAAACTAAAAGGGTAAAACTTAAGTAAAGGATACCCATTTCATGTAGTCTTAACAGGCTGCTGCCCCAAATGAAGCTCTTCTGTAGAATGGGGATGCATGCACAGGCATTAATGTCACCATTTAGAAATAGGTGCTGCCAAGTAGTCTTTTGGAGACATACAGGGGCAAGAGCTGGATATTAAAGAAAAAATGAGCAAACCAATTAACTAATTTTCAAAGCCAAAATAAATTTTTTACTATTTTAAAATATTAAATTACAAGAAAGATATAGTCTTAGCAGTAAGTTTCTGTTGGGATTTGACCCTCTTCTGTGGTTATTTACTTACAATGGCATCAACCTGCTCCAGGATCTTCATGAACTGCTCTGCAGTTCCTTTTATCCTCTTATCCAGCTGTTTTAGTGCTTCTGCTTGGAGATCCTTTGCTAAAAACCCCTGAGGAGGAAAAAGAGAGAAGGAAAGACAAAATTATTCCATACCCTATAGAATACTCAGCTTAGAAAACCTGTCAGTCCACCACAGCAGAAAACATCTTTTACAATTTCTGTAGTTTCAAGTATGATAGGGACTCCAATCTCAACCTGTATTCTATCAATCCTTGAAATGCTAAACGTACGATCTGCTAGGTTTACTTAAAAGATTAAACAAGTAACAGCCATTCTCCTTTGGACTTTGAGAGAACTCTTTATGTTTTTCCAGATCTAAAGAATATGATTTATCCAATAAGCAACAGTATTTACCTTCTTCCAAATAGTGCCGCATCTCTATTTTGCAAATTCATGAACAGCATTTGAAATTCAATAAGAACTTTACAGGACCCTTGGACAGTTAGGAGGGGCAGCCTATTACTGACTACTCAAAACCTTTAAATGGTATTTTTTTCAAATTCATATACCTACAAAACTGTTTTGCAAAGATATAAAATAATAAAAAACTGGCATACCTTCTGGATACTTGTGAACTCTTTATTAACTTCCTCTAACTTATTAGCTATTTGCTCCACTGACTTCTCCAAATCTTTTAACTTCTTTAATTCAGCCTCTTCTTCTGGACTATTCTGTGTATTCAAAAGTACAACATTCACAACCATGGAACAAATAGAGACACTACGCAGCTAAAAAGCAGCAACAGTGGTGATACAGACATAAAGGCTTCTGCTGATTTAAAATACGTACTACACTGTGGTCATTCTTTCCATATTTTAATACCTATCAAATAAGCTTCTGCTTCCAAAGCTTAATTACAAATACAGTCAAAGCAGCAATGTATATAAACACATTAAATGAGATGAATTTGAAGGGAAAAAGGAAAACTCTTTTTTTTTTTTTTGTTAGCTTAGCATTTTTAAAGTAGAGGTAACATTTATATCATGAGATATTACCTTGTCCTCTACTTGGCAAAGCCAGCCACAGCTCATTGCACTAGAAATAACCCAGCAGACTCAGTAGCTACAGGGGTTTTTTTGGTTGGGTTTTTTTTTTAAACAGAAAAATAAGATGAGCGGATAAGGTCATCAGTGCACAGAAGGTTCAGGAGCAGTGACAAGCAACAGATTAGGCAGAATTTTGTCAATAATGTAAGGCAGAAGTCAGTCAACAATGTAATTTCAGAAATGTATAAACTGCAGAGTTATATGCAGTACAACGTGAGACTGAACTCAACTTTGTGGGTAGGTATATGAGATTAGGTTTTATGCTATAACCTGTTTCTGTGTTCCACAGTTGAATCACTGACAGAAATGATAATAATTTAAGGAAACAACAAAAAAAAGGGTCCAAAGGCAACACTTACCCTCTTCCCGATCAACATGACTTTGCAACCATTTTTAACACCAAGTGCTGACAATGGTTGTTCCAAATCTTTCAGAGACCTCCCTAAATGGAAAATAAGAGAGGGGAAAAAACAGTTAAAATATAGTTAGTGGCATAAGAATGTCTTTTTGAAAACATTCAGAACATGAACACCTGAAAGTGACTAAGATGAAAGGCATCATCCATAAGAAACTTTGACAGATTTATAAGTTACCTTTGTATATCAGTTTCTGAAAAGGAACTGGAACACCAGTGACTTGTTCAATTAGTACAGCCATGTCTTGTAGTGTAGGTTCACCATCTTCTTGTTGAGAAGCCACCTGAATACTGTGTTTTTCATTACCTAACAAAAAAACAGAGTAACAGTAATACTTATTGTTACCTAGAAAATAGTACAGGGAATCCATTTCTAATATTTATTTCCATTAGTGCAGAAAGTTCTCAAATCACTGATTCTCATGTACAATCATAATTTTCAATCAAAGGATTCTATTGTATTTCCTTCCTCTTGGAGTGACTTATCTCGGCTGAAAATTTTGTTTTACATTCTAACAACCTGAAGAGTTTGATCAGGCGTAGTCTACTGGCATAATGCTCCTGCTAAATGTAATTCCCCACCTCTTTTTAAGAGTGCAGATGGTGTCCAGACATCCCACAAGCTAAAGCATAAAAGCCCACACCTTCCTGATGCATTCCATTTCCTGCTTGTAGGAATTTCTAATGGCAAGCTGAGGGAACGTGAATGCATAATGGGGAATCTGAGACAACTTATCACTTCCTTTCCTCCCTACTCCTCATACACGAGAAGCAAGCGATCAATGCCTACCCTGCCTCCCCTCCACCAGCCACCTGAGAGAATTCGCACAGTCCAAAAATTATTTCTCCCCATAATACTGCTGATATGCAGCCTTAACCACTTTGAGAAGTCTCAGCCTATACGTCACCCTCCACTTATGGAGCATCTTATGCAGACTCCCTAAGATTACTTGCATGCAAACAGCAGGAAGTTCTTAGAAAAAAGGATTACGTCTATTCATCTCTGCTTTGCAATAAACCCTTCCTGTAACCCTCTGCTCCCACTCACTTAAGGCCTTTCAATCTGAAAGCGCTCACAGGAATCAGCCACCACTGGCTGCAAGGGAAATCAAAACAGGCATTTTTTACTTTGCAAGAAGAGAGAACTCCTTAACAAATACCAGAAATAAAACTATTCTCATGCCACTAATTTGAAGTGCGTGTATCTTTTACGAAGAAGAGTGCTAGAAACATCTAGCCTGTTCCAGCTCCCAAGGGTCACATGACAAGTGACACTGTGGCCTCAAAAACTTGCAGCTCCAACAATATTTCTTCATTTCAAAATGGTTCTAAGCTCAAAATCACATTATACAAACTCCCTCCCAAGCATTTTCCATAAACAGACCTTCTTCCCAATTT